CAATTTCCTCTTTATGTTGTTATTAAAATACTTTTTATTTGGTTGATACTAGTGGAATCAGGTTTGGACAACTACATAATCTAGGTCCACACTCCAACGGGCAACATCACAAGTTCTTCCATACTCAATATACTTGACTCTAACACGACATCCTCATCAAATGACTCTATAATTATAGGAGATTTTAGTTGGAAGCAATTTTGGAGTCTGAAATTGATACCACTAAATATTCTATTATTTGTATGAAAATGTCTTACCAATTTAATCCTAAATTCCTAACAAGAGGTATATTCTATTAGATGCATAAAATTCCCAAAATTGCCCATTGTGCTTACGTGAGATAGAAGTTGTATCACTGTTGTTTTTCCATTGCCTAGTGGCTCAACTAGTCAAGTTTGGCCCTAGCCTCAATTTGAAAACTGATGATATTGATGCCTCCATTCGTACATGGGTTCTCTCTAGTGGAAGATAGATCATGAGAATCCAAACACTCAATTTAAGAATTGATGATATTGATTCATTCATTCATACATGGACTTCTCTCTAGTGTAAGATCGATCATGAGCATCCGAACACTCAAAATTACCCACTATGCATGAAATGAGATTATCTTTTGCAATAGTCAATTCAACCATCATTTCGTAATATTTCAAGCATATGCCTTTCTACATATTTAATTTTAGAATGGATGATGTTGATGCCTCCATTCATACATGGGCTTCTCTCTGGTGGAAGATAGATCATGAGCATCCAAACACTCAAAATTTCCCACAATGGATGAAATGATATTACCTTTCACAGTAGTCAATTCAACCCTTGTTTGGTAATATTCAAGCACCGACCCTTCTTCATACTATTCTCCTGGGGCAAGACACCATTGAGACTGTCCATGTACCCATTGAAGATGCAATTCCATCAAGTCATTATAATTGGATTCCACTACTAATCGGTATGCTTAAATTGAATGTAGTTGGTTTTGTCGATTTGACTAATATAGGGGTGGGTTTCATCTTTCATAGCCATGTGGTTGATTGTATCTATGCTTGAACATTACCCTTTAATAGTCATTCTCCTCTAGTAGAGCTTTGCACTGTTAGAATGATTGAAAATTGCAAATAATCTTGGAGTTTCTAGTCTTATGTTTAAAGTGACACTCTCTCTTTAGTTAGACGTTTATTGGTAGACACTATTGAACCATCATGGTCTATCAACATTCTATTTACTTAGTATAAGCATCTATGGTGTTTCTTTACAAATACCTCTAGAACTCATATTTTACATTTAGCCAACAGAGCGACTCATCATCTTGCTAAATTATCTCTCTCTCACTTGCACTCTCTAGTTCTAGAGTTTATAGTTGGTCCATGTACATTTTTTTGTTGATATCATTGTACAAGAGACTGTTATTGAGGTTTGATGAATGGATGAGTGCTAAGGAGCCTTCTAAAAAAATTGGAATCTTATTAATAAACTTAGTGACTCGGTGCATTGGTTTAAACACATTTGGAAATTAGGGCTACCTTCTAAAGTCTCTATTTTTATGAAGAAATTTATGCATGGTGTTGTTTCTATTGATGACATGATAAGGAGAAGAATTCATACAACTTTTAAATGTTGTTGTGGTGGGCCTTGTAGCCAACACCATGTATTCGGGTTGAAACATTCACTCATTTGTTTGGTAATGGTGTTATGGCCAACACGGTATGGAATCACTATAGTAATTTGCTCAATATCCCTATCATTCAAACCCAAGATATTATTAACAAAGTTAAATCTTGGTGGAACATTATAATGGAGTCTCCCTTGGACAAGTGGCATCTCATTTATCAAGAAAGAGCATATCAAAAGTGGTTTTTTGCACTCTCAAGCAAAAGCTTCTTTAACACGTGTTTATTCACTTGATGATAGTTGCCTCCACTCTAAAAAAAGTTAGTGATAGTTACATCCACTAAAAAGAAAAAGAGACAAGGGTAAATTACAAGGACCCCTGTACTATGGGGTCAGTGACAAAGACCCCCTATACTTTAATTTGCAACAAARACCCCCCTGAACTTTTATGTTGTGACAAATACCGCTTAATCGTTAAGTCATATGACGGAAAATGTTAAGTTACCAAAATACCCAACTAAACTTTCTCTATTTTATTTTTCTTGCCATTTTCTCTTAAAACATAACTGATCCAAAAATATCTTGATAGTCGTCAAAAAAAGAAAAAATCTGAAGCTAGAACCTATCCTATTGGGGTCAGTTCAAGTTTTTTGAATTGGGACCTGCTTGTCAATATTGGTCCTAGGGTCGATTTTGGCCTTGGTAGTTCTAGGGTCTACCCATGGAATTTGTTCTTTCTTTATCCGCTTCCATCCACCCCCTCACCCGAAAAAAWAATGGAACATGTTCTTTAAAAACATGATTTTAAATAATGATGACAACAACAACAACAATATTAATAATAAAGGGAAAATTCCGGATTAGTCTCTTGTACTTTAGGGGTAGTCTCACTTTAGCACTTAAACTTTTGAAAACTCCCAATTTAGTAACTGTCATTAGTAGTCCGTTAGTTATCTAACACATGGGATGCCACATGCGATTTGAAGCATTTAAAAATTCCAAAATTACCCTTTAGAAGAAGACATTGTTCATTGTCTTCTTCCTTGAGATCAAACTAGAGCAATTGTGAATAGAATTCCAAATCTCCGATCGGTACTATTTATGCTATATGAGGCTATTAGATTTGAAGGTGAATATAGAAACCAAATTAGAAATTCTAGGTGTAGATGACTATCTAGGGCTTTAGAAGATGTGTAGTAAAGTTGTTTGCCCTTTCACTATGCAGATGGTGAAGTTGTTACTAATTGATAAATCTCAAGGGAAGATTGAGGTGGATTTWAGTTCAGCGAACTTTTTATTATTCATTCTTTCCTCTTCTTACAACTTTTGAATTAGTAAGAAAATAGTAAAATGCATAACTTAGCTATTTGTCCATTCACAACACATAATAGAGTTGTTCAATATTGTTAGTTGATAAAGAAATTTAGATAATACATTAAGGGCATTTTTGTCCTTTTAAATGCCACTTAACGTCTATTGGCGATTTTGGACTAAATTGGCAGTTTTCCCCAATAATAATAACAACAACAACAACAA